TCAATAAAAGTACAGCACCCCACGGGGAAGTAAATTGGGCATTGGGTATAATGGCATTTTCGTACGTTCCGTAAATGGAACGATGAACGAAACGAGAGGCGACTGCCAGCCAAAGAGCGGCAACAACAGCAAACACACAGGCATAGTTTGAGTACATGTGCAGTAGTGTTGGTGTGTATCTGTGTGTGTATAGCGAGTTGAAGCGGCTATACAGTTTGTTGTTGCTCTTCAGTATCTTGCACTCCGAGTCGAGCATTGGAATCGGAATAAGCGGTCGGAGCTATACATTATCGTGTACCGCAAGTGCTCATTACGAATTCACTGACACACACACACACACACTAGTAGCAGAGAGAAAATATACAGAAAAAACTGTGTATATTTTTTCGAGGGTTAATACGAAAAGATATTTTTGGTGCGGCTCACAGATTTGTTGTTGGCAGGCTACAACACATATCCCAATGCAAATCTTTCATCTTTCATACCCTTAATAAAATGCCTTTTTTTTGCGCTGCGGCTTTCTCCCTCGCTCTTATGAGAATTTAAATAAATTATATTTCCTCCTTTTTTTTTCCATAACTGTCACTTTGAGCATACATTTGCGACTAATTGTGGCAAGGGTGGCAATGCTGCTAAGTGGGCGGGCAGATGCCAAGTAATTGCTATAAAGCTCTGTAATAAGTGCACCTGTCAAAATTATTTCCCAACCGGGACAAGGGTTTTGAACAGGGATGCTTTTTAATACAGCTTAGGTATTTGCTTACATGGTACAGATTTAATGAGACTTTTTATACATATATTTGTTTAAAATGGATCTTAGAATTCCTATTTAGGTTTAATTTATTTTACCTTTTAATTTAAATCATACCTTAGCTCAACTTTAATCATTAAAACTATCTATCTCTACTAATATGTATATCTACTTTCAATCAAATCTGAATATTATTATTCAATTTTTTTATATTCTTTATTTTTCATCTGACGATAATATAAAAGCTTTTAAAATACAAAAATTTAAAACCTGATCAAATTCATTGAACGTTACGCATAAATTACTGTATAAGCCCCCACAGAGTCAATGAATCATTTCACCTCCCTCTGCATTTCCGTTCAATAGAAGCGTAAAAGCAATTAGTACCTGGCCCCCGGACCCACCTACTCGCATGTTTTTGCACTTGGAAACCGCAGGGACGTAACCACAGAACAGATGCAACATTAATTATTTATTTTGACCGAGGATTCAAAAGGATTCACCCGCAGCACAACTTTGGTCTGGCTTTTGGTATGTTAGATGCGGTGCAGCTTACATATTTTGGAAACAGTTCCTTAATTACTTTTTAAATTGGTGAAATTAAAATTTATGCACGTTTTTTGCAGTACTTTTTTAGGTAAAGCTAAAATACATCAAAGTGTTTCCATGCTTGAGAATGTGGAGTACTATTTATATATATTAAAAATATGAAAAACATTTTGTCAGAAATCGTTTAAGGTACTCCGCTTAAGAATCGGATGGGAATTGGGAAAGATATAGCCATCACGGTGGACCCTATAGGGGAAAACCCGATTTCCAAGGGAACCCATCACGAAAAATGGAAGAAAAATCTGAAAAATATTTTGTTTTAGGATTTTGATACAGAATGGTGGCGAATCACTCCAGAAATCGTTTAAGGTACTCCGCTTGAGAATCGGATGAGAATTGGGGAAGTTATAGCCATCAACCTGGACCCTATAGGGGAAAACCCCATTTCTAAGGGAACCCATCACGAAAAATGGACGAAAAATCTGAAAAATATTTTGTCTCAGGATTTTGATGCGGAATGGTGGCAAATCGATCCAGAAATCGTTTAAGGTACTCCGTTGAGAATCGGATGAGAATTGGGGAAGTTATAGCCATCAACCTGGACCCTATAGGGGAAAACCCCATTTCCAAGGGAACCCATCACGAAAAATGGACGAAAAATCTAAAAAATATTTTCTCTCCGGATGCAGAATGCAGAATGGTGGCGAATCGATCCAGAAATCGTTTAAGGTACTCCGCTTGAGAATCGGATTAGAATTGGGGAAGATATAGCCATCACCGTGGACCCTATAGGGGAAAACCCCATTTCCAAGGGAACCCATCAGTAAAAATGGATGAAAAATCTGAAAAATATTTTTCCTCAGGATTTTGATGCAGAATGATGAAGAATCGATCCAGAAATCGTTTAAGGTACTCCGCTTGAGAATCAGATGAGAATTGGGGAAGATATAGCCATCACCGTGGACCCTATAGGGGAAAACCCCATTTCCAAGGGAACCCTTCAAGAAAAATGGACGAAAAATCTGAAAAATATTTTGTCTCAGGATTTTGATGCAGAATGGTGGCGAATCGATCCAGAAATCGTTTAAGGTACTCCGCTTGAGAATCGGATTAGAATTGGGGAAGATATAGCCATCACCGTGGACCCTATAGGGGAAAACCCCATTTCCAAGGGTACGCATCAGAAAAATGGAAAAAAAATTGAAAAAATATTTTGTCTCAGGATTTTGATGCAGAATGGTGGCGAATCGATCACAAATCGTTTAAGGTACTCCGCTTGAGAATCGGATCAGAATTGGGGAAGATATAGCCATCCCTGTGACCCCTATAGGGGAAAACCCCATTTTCAAGGGATCCCATCACGAAAAATGGACGAAAAATCTGAAAAACATTTTGTCTCAGGATTTTGATGCAGAATGGTGGCGAATCGATACAGAAATCGTTTAAGATACTCCTCTTGAGAATTGGGGAAAATATAGCCATCACCGTGGGTCATATAGGATATAAGGGACTATATCTTTTATCGGCCATTGAACTATCGGAAATGACCCCACTTTCGTGTTTTTGAAGATAGATAGTTGGAAGTTCCTACAGATACTGTTTTTTGGATTATGTTACCAAAAGTAACATTAAGGTACGTCAATGCGTTCATCATAAAACCTGAGTAATTTAACTAAATCTTCCAGAATATTGTGTTAATTTTCGATTATTTATTATAGACATTTCCCTAGTGCTGCTGACAGTTTAGTTGAAGCCCGTCCTCTTGGCCAAACAAAAAATATCAAGAGGCAGGGAATATCGAAATATATGATGTCAGCAAAGTTACAGATACAGACGCGATCAAATTAATAAACGCATTTTGCATATGGCCAAAACCAGTTGGCAACGAAACAACAAAATGAAAAGGCCAGCGGCGGCCGCATAACAAGATGAGGCAAGAAACAGGCATTTTTAGCGTTAATTATAACCGCCAAGGCCAATACGTATATAGATACATACGTAGATATACATATGGATGCGTGGCTTTAATCTCTCATTTGGCAGTTGGATTCAATTAACAAAGTCAGCCACCCACACACGCACATGTGTGTACAGCCACCCCAAAAATCAAGTTTAGCCCCAGCTGGCCGAATACTCTCAGCATTTACTACGACGGCTCTCTTTCTCTCAGTTTCGAGCTTGTTCGGGTCGCGAGCCGAGCTCAGCCGAACGGTCTGCCAGCCAATCAGCCGGCGGGGTGGTTCGCCAGACGGACCTCAATTTGGCTTTGTCCAAATGCAGTCCGAACGGTGTCTGGTTTATTTTGAAGATGTTAAATAGATATAATTTTAAAGACCAAAGATCCACTAAGTTGGATATCTGATGGTCGCATCAGACTTAAAATGCAGACTTATTAACCTTTAAAAAATATTCAATAAGCTGTTAAAAAAAAAGCTTTAAAAGAAGTAACTTCAATACCAAGAAACAGAATCTTGAAAAAATATTAAGGGCGTGGTTTCGGGTGGCTACCTTACTCCAAAGTCCCAAAAATATACCACCCGTTGGTTCGAATCCTACAGAGTGAGATGAAAAGGAAGTTTATGAGATATTTTCTTCTTGTAGGCGGCCTTAATACAGGTAGGTATATAAATGGCCTAAAAATAGTGAACATTTACTACAAAAGCTCCAAAAACTACCTACATGGTGCCTTATGGATCTGTCATCTGTGGAGCTTGGAAAACAGGACTTTTAAAAACGTTTTCCTAAAAGACAATTATTTCAAAATACTCGTGAAGAAAGTAGATATGTTTTCAGAGTTGAATTATACTTATACTGATTATACTTATAAAACCTTTATAAAAACGTCTTATCTTAAAAGGAATAAAAGAATTAAATATAAAATATTCTTAAATACAAGAAGCGCACGGACAAGTGCTCGAGACAAAGGCCTTTGCCTTTGTGACTCTGAAACTCTTATCAGAATGGTTAAAGACGAATTTCCTAGAGCTGGAAACCAAAAAGATTGCAGAGTTGATATTCAGATATTTAACCAAAATGGAATTTATCACCCGCTGATTTAAGATACAAACAAACGATAACCTTTTTTTAAGTTATCGAGCTTTTTCTCGAACTATGTATGTATGGTATTAGAATGGTGTTTTAGCAAGGACAACGTTCCAATATATAAAAAGTAACATTGTAATTAGGACCTAATTAGCTCTTGGATCTTATCCGATCAAAGTCCGATAGACTTCAGATCAGTTTCCCCTAAAAATATTCCCTTTTATAGATACGGATTGGTGGGCTAGCCGATGAAATGGCGCGAGGCGGTACCAGCGCTCGGTTCTCTGCTTCTTCGAAAAGTTATTCGAAAAAGAGAGAGAGAAATTGAGAGCGTTCGAATGCACAGGGTGCCCGATCAAAAAACGAATGTCTACAGGGCGGTTCGAGTAAAAACAGCACGAGACTGTCAAAGAGGGGGGCGGTTTAATGGCTTTTGAGGCGAATATGTTGTACGTGTGCAACAGAGAGCGAGTGCCAGAGAGATAGAGATGGAAAACAAATCTCTGTTTCTTGATAGTACGAGAAATCGATAAGAGCCAGCAGCTGAAATGTAGAAGAAGAACATTTCGCTTACAACAGTGTGTGGGTGTCGGCGATTAACGGCAAATCGATTCGGCGGTGCAAGCAGTGGGAAAATGCTCCAGAAGAAAAGCGTCTCAGTTGCGACGCAATTGCTGTGAGTACGTATGGAAAACCGATTTCGAGTTGGAAAAATTTCTCTGATTGTGAGCCGAAAAAAAAAGTGCTCTCGCTGGTGGCAAAACGTGTGTTGGTGTTGGTGGAAAATTTGTAAACACACGTACACGTGACAGGTGGGGTGGTGTGCGTGCGTGTTATTCTCGCCGTATTGGAATTTTCGACGTGCGGCGAAAAGCGGCACAGCGGCGCAACGGCGAAAATGCGCGCGCGCAAAAGTAGAAAGTTGGTAATTCGCCGTAACACTCCCCACCCACTGGGCACTCTGGGCACTAAGCGCGAACAGGCGGCGCTCTCTCGCCGCGGCGAATAGATACAAATTTGTGTGCTGAGGCGAGTCGTCGGATTCGCTCGTATCGCGTTCGGGTCACAATTGCGCGGCGAATGTAGCGATGGGATTGTGATTCCGATTGCGAGTGCACCGCTTTCAAAATCGAGTGGATTTTCGGCGGATGCGGACACGGACGCGGGAAAATTTTTGTCCAGCACCAACGTCCATGCTGCCATACCATATTCGTTGTCGTCGTCGTCGTCGTCGTCGTGTTTTCGGCTAGTGTTTTGTTATTGTTGTAATATCCGTGAGTCGTCTTCGGTTAGCTTGTTGCGTGTATGTGTGTTCGAAGAGCTACATAAGTGTACGTATACTGTATGTATGTGTGTGTGTTTTGGGGCAAAAGCAACCACCCTGCGGGCGCTCGTGCCGGCGTAACTGTTATTGTTATTACTGCTGCTGCCACTTTCAAGCTGTGACCATTTCGTCACATGTGTTTATATGTGTGTGTGTAGTGTGTGCTTGTGTGTGTGTGTTAGTGCGCGCCTTTTACGAAATTACGGCGTATAAACACCCAAAGCACAATAAGAAAATCAAGACGAGCACGCCTCAACGTTGCGACGTCATCAGTTTCAACGTCATCGAATTTTTGGGTGGCATTTTCCAGCTGAGTGGGCGTGAGCACACCCACCCACACACACACAAGCACAGAGATACATTTGTATATCTATCTATCTTACTTCGTAATCAACTCAAAGCCGGCAGCGACGTCAACGGTGGCAGCTACGCCGGCAGATGACTCTCTCGCTGTTTTACTTGCCACCTCCTTTTTTTTTTTTTTACTTGCGCCCGCTTTTTGGCCTAGCTTAGTTTTTCAGTTCAAGCTGGCTCGGCCTTTTGTTTTTGTTTTGTTTGCTTTTTTGTTTTGCTAGCACAGCCTCCGCCCCCTCCCCAGCCCCCCACTCACCCTACCACTTGTACATCTTGCCACTGTTGTCATTTCGGTTTTCCCTTTTGCCCAAGCTTTCGTGCCAGTTTCGCGTGAGCGCCAAAATAAAAAGATACGAAGAGGCAGAGGCAAAGAGAGACAAAAACACAGTTTGAAGCGATGCGACTTTTGTTTGCGCTTATGAAGTGGGTGGTGGGATGCTCTCCTTGTGGGTGGTGGCTGGTGGGTGGTGGTGGGGGATGGGCTCTGAATGGAAGCTGATTGAACAACCGGCTGTTTGGGAAGCGGAATTATTCAAAAATCTTCTAATCAAGAGACATTATAGAACATGAATCTAGGACCAAATCTGTAAAGTTTTAAAGAGAAAATGCAAAAATCTTCTAATCTAGCGACCTGAGAACACTTTATTACAAGAAAGTGTGACCAAATCTGTTAAGTTTCGAAGAGAAAAAGCAAAAATTCTGAATTTAGAGACATGAAAGAACATGCATCCAAGATAGTGTGACCAAATCTGTAAAGTTTTAAACTAAAAAGCAAAAATCTTCTGATCTAGAGACTAGAGAGAATTTGAATACACAACAGTGTGACCAAATCTGTAAAGTTTCGAGGGGAAAAAGCAAAAATCTCCTAATCTAGAGACATGATAGAGCTTGGATATGCCTAAGTGTGACCAAATCTGTAAAGTTTCAAATATTCAAAGTTTCTATCATGTAAAAATCCTCGTTTCAACTTAAGAATCTCTTATATTCCTTATAAGCTTCCTTTAAAGTTATTCTAAAAACTCTAAAAAACTCTAAAAACCCTCCCTGCTCTTCTAAAATCCATACTAACCCTATTTTTAATTAAAAAACGTTCCCTTCAATCTCAAAAGAATCTTTAATTTAAAGTTGAAAGCAATATGACTTTGTAGAAACATGCAAATTAATTAAAAAACATTGTTAAGTATTGCAATATTCTTATTGTTCCCTAGCTTTTTGAAGTACATGACTGTAATTCGAGGTCTCCCCAACAACCTGCTGATCCACAATTCCCTGAACTTTGCCCTGCTCTCGAGCTAAAAACTCCCTGCCACCATCACCCATCATCATCATTATTGTCATCATCATCATCATCATCTCGTAATCATCGTCAGAGCATTGCCATAATGATGAAAATTCAGTTTGAGTTTCCCTGCCTTTGAGGTTGCTGGTGTATAGGGCACACAAAAGCGTAATTTTCGTAGTTTTATACGAATAGGGGATAGGGGTAGAGGGGGGGACCATGGCATAAAAAGGTTGAAAGAGTAAGAGAGGGGGGGTTGGGGGCCTAAGCTAAAACTAGCTTCAAGTACACTGTCGAGTGCACATCGCTTTCTGTGTCTCTGTGTGTGTGTTTTGATTCTCTCCTCGGCAACCCTCGGTTTCTTTCGGTAGGTGCCCTCTATGGTACGAAGGGCGTACCCCCCAACCCCCAACCCCCCTGCCTTATGATCCATCCACCCACAAAGTCGCCACTTTTGTGTTCTTATTTCACATACATGGGGATGTGTGTGTGTGGAGGTGGAGGAACTTGCAGCATTGTTCCGATTCATGGATATGGATGGCTGACTTACTAGTCTAAAGTTTTTCGTTCGTATTGTGGTGTCGTCGTTGCCATATCTTTTGGTACAAGATACAGATACAAAGCATACTGATATATCTCACTTTGTGGCTTGGGTTTTATTTTTTTTCATTTTTTAGCTCCGTCCCGTTGACGAGCGACAACCACAAACGATGTCGACAATGATGGTTATGCGATGGGACTGTTGCTCCAAACTGTCGGTTTCCCACACACACACACATACACACTACCCATCGGTTGGGTCTCTTTCACCACTTTTCCTTTTGGCCATTGTTTCTGACCCACTCGGCCATCCAAACAGTTTATTAGCCATCATCGGGTGTCATTTAAGCACATGCCATGAATGTAGATTTCCGTCCTAACCGCAGTCTTGTCTTCTCTCTCTCTCTCGGTAGGACACCACCAGAAGAGAGGCTACAAACCAAGCTAAGCAAAATGTCACAGGACATCATGACGGAGCCGGTTTCTAGGATGCGGGATGTACGTCAGTTCCATGATCTGATCACCTGTGGCATATGCCGGGGATACATGGTCGATCCAACCACAGTGGATGACTGCTATCATACATGTAAGTTGGTTATCAAACATCCAACCTTCCATCTCTCCTAGTCATAAGGTCTAACCCACTCTAACCAACCTCTCAACGCTAACCTCTTGCCACAGATTGTCGCAGTTGCATACTGAAGCACCTGCTGCGTGTGCCCTATTGTCCCGAATGCAAGCGGAGCCGGGGCAAGGAGATCAGCGAGATCACCGAATTCAATCTGAGATCGGATGATATGTTGCGGACCCTCATCTACAAAATGGTGCCGGGTCTCTATCAACGGGAGTGCCAGGCGCTGGCCGATTTCGAGGAGCAGCACAAGGACCTGGTGGATGAGAAGTCACCGCTCCACCAGGAATTCTTCACCGCCACGGAGCTAGTGAGCTTGTCGTTGGAATACCATCCCGCCATGTTGCAACAGTGTGGTGCGGGCGAGGTGCCACCCACCATTTACTTGCAATGTGCCGCGGGCCTGAGGGTGGAGCTGTTGAAACGCTTCCTCTGCTCCAAGTACAACATTGAGGCGGACAACAAACTGGTCGAGGTGGAGGTCACCTATGAGGATGAGGTCCTGCCCTCCCATTTTACGCTCATGGATGTGGGCTATTGCTACAAATGGAGTCGGGTGAGTGTTCTTAGTTCTTGTTGATAGATTACCTTGTTCAATCATTGAAATATTAGAGGATACATCCTTGGTGTCCACACTCACTTAACGTAATTCTGTCAGGGACCTTTTTGTGATCCTTTATGCATGACTTGGCTGACCACCACCCATCTCCCCCGCCCTCCTGTGTTTCAATTTGTTTTGTGACCAAAATTGATGGCGATACAAATGCCCAACACTTTTCACACATTCCGTGACGATTTTAATAAATGGTCCTAAGTAAATGTCTTTATTTGGGACATAAGTCCCAACTTTGATTTCAATATCCAACCTTTTACCTTTCTGTTGGGCGGTGGGCGGTGGTCGGTGGTCGGTGGTCGGTGGGAGGGCTTTTGTTGTCCCTTTTTGTGGTTTATCCCAATTACCCGATAATCTCGGTTGACCGTGGACCGTGTGGACCGTCCTGGGGACAGTCCAATCCAATTGTCTCGGCAGTTTAACGTTCAGTGTCCACTTTTCCATTTTCCACCCTTGTCAACCTGCCTATATTTTTTGTTTTTTTTTTTCTTCTTCTCTTCCACCCCCCTGGGCCACCCCACAGCAATCGCCGATGGCCTTTTGCTACCGGATTCTGCTCTACGAGAGCGAACGGGCAAAAAACGATGAGAATAACCTATCGAGGATTAATCAGGACATTGAACCAGGCCAGACAGTGCGTCGCCCCAAAGCGGCCAAGTCGGTGTCCTTTGCCGAGGACCTCGAGTCGGAAATGGACTCCGTCTCACCGCGTTCCAAGGCGCGGAGTAACAAGACCTCGCCGAAGGTATCCCCCCAGTCCAAGGGCAAGCGTTTGGCCAAAAAGGAAGCGGAACCGGAACCCGTTAGCACTTTCAAGAGCCTGCGCAGCAATGACATGCGATACAGCGACTATGCCGTGCCCAAGGTGAAGAGTGAGCCGGAGCAGGAGCTGCCAGATACCCAGCGGGAACAGCCTCTGGAGGCCAACGCCAACATTGTGGTCAGCATACCGCCCTCGCAACTCATCAAGTCCTACGGAGATGTCGAAGACTTCGAGCTGAAGACGGCCAATCGCAAGGTGTCCGGGAATCTGCCCAAGCTCAAGATCGAGCTGAACAGCATGAAGAGCAAGCTGAGCATGCCGCTGTCGGCCCACGGCCGTCTGGAGGACACCAGTGCGTCCGCTTCGGCCCAGCAGTTGGACCTGGAGACGTATGCCAAGAACATTGGCCTGAAACCGATCGAACAGCCTGCGGCTTTGGGCGTCAGCGATACCAAGTACAGTCCCAATGCCTCGCCCATGTCCTCGTGCTCCAGCTCCACCAACGGCTCCACCTCCAGCCTGGGCACTGCCGATGCCAGTACCTCCACAAGTACCAGTTCGCACCGGAAGCGGAAGAAGAAACACTCCAAGGAGCCGAAGGATGCCAACGGTAAGCGGAAGAAGCTCCATGCGGAGATATCCTCGCAAACGGATGGAAAAATGAAGGTGAAGATCACATCGACGCCGAAGCACAAGCTGGACTTGAAGCGCTCCCATTCGATAGCTGGAGGAGAGCTGGCTCTCCAGCAGCTGAAACTGGACGAGAGGAGCATCAATTCCTCCTCGACGTCGGACGTCCTGAACCGGACCCTGGGCGAGGAGGCGCGCAGCATTAGCAGTCTGGTGGTGGGTGGAGCTCCTACCCCGCCGCCCACACCAACAACGGAAGCGTTGGTCCAGCAGCCACCCCAGGTGGTAGTGGCCAAGCCCAAGGAGATGCCCAGTCTGCCGACGTCGCCGCCCCTTCCTCCCAGCTTGTTTAAGGCCTACACGCCCAGTGCGACTCCCACGATTCCGGCTAAGACCAAGGTGGCGCCCCAGCACCAGCATCAGCAGCAGCAGCTGCACCAGCTCCAACAGCAGCAGCATCAGGCACACGCCGCCCAGGTGAAGACAAGCCCCGCCGCCAAGCCCCCCTTGAGCAACAACAACAACCGCAAGCTGTCGGGCGGACACTTTGCGGTGCCACAAGCGCCCGGCAACCGGAATCTGTACCACATGCAGCGGTATCTGTCCACACCCAGTTCCATAGCCAGTGCGGCCAACAAGCAGCCGAAGCGATCGCTCTCGCTGGACGAGTCGCATCCCGCCAAGCAGGCCCGCTTCCAGGAGGCCCAGGCCATGGCCAACTACACGGCCAAGAAGTTTCTGCTGAGCAGCCAAACGGCAACCTATCTGCCGAATCCCCAGCCCCGTCTCTACGGTCCGGACATGAACAGCAAGACCCCAATGCCACTACTGTGTCCCACCAGTATGTCTCTGGCCGGTTCTAGCTTGGGCAGTGGCTCGGTCACCATTACGGCCAGGCCAAGGGCCAATCAACTGGGCTATCCTTATGTTCCCGAGGCCAGCAATCAGATTCCGGCTCTGGAAATCGTGCGACTGGGACCTGGCAACAAGCCGGGAGGACCAAAGGCCATGCCGCCGCTTAGCCCGCCGGCAGCCTCGTCCTCGGCGGCCAGTCGGTTGATGGGACCACCGGCAGCACTGCCCAGTAAGAACTCCCTGAAGATGCCAATGCCGCTGCCCATGCCAATGACCACAATACCGACGATTGTCAAGTCACCCCCGTTGTCAGTGGCATTGAGTGGTCAGAGGGGCAACAACAACAACAACAAGGGTAACAACAGCAACAACAATGCTGCTTATCGGACATCACCGCCTGCATTAATAAATCTGCGCAATACAGCACCACACTCTGCAACATTTCCATCAAAGTTGCAACAGCAACAAAGTGGAAAGGTAGAGGCCAATTCAAAGAAATCCCCGCCAGCCGGTACTGCCAATGGTACTGCCTCATTGGAGTCCAAGTCGAAAACGAGTTTGCGAGAGTTTAGGCCAGCAGTAACAGCAGGAGCTAAGGATGCCGACATACTTGATTTATCAGCAAATCCAGGAAGGAACAACCAACAACCTAACCATGCAACAAAATTTCCAACAACAACAACAACAACTACAGCAATAACAACACCAACAACAACAACAAGTAATAGCCTAGAGGCAGCCTTGAATAAAATCAAACAGAATATATCCGCCAACAGTAATGGTGGTAATGCTGCTGTTGTTGTTGCTGCATCTACCACTTCTAGTAATGGCAATGGTAGTAGCAACACTACCAACTCTAAAAACAACAACAACAACAACAGTAGCAGTAGCAACAAAAGCAACAACAACACCAATGGTAACAACACCGGCGATGATCTACAAAATCTGCATATGCTCTCGGAATCGGCAACGGCCCGGGAAAAGATCTCGATAAAGGTGGCCAGCTTTGAGAATAAGCCAAAAAATGCCAATGCCAATGCACTGGTGAGACCACAGAATGCTTCAGTTAGGAGCATACCGAATCCCTCGGCTCTGGCCTTTCGCAATCAGCCGGCCACCGCGACTACAACAGCAACGACTACGACCAATATTAGCAAGCCGTTGACTGTAAAAGCCGAGGACAGATCTAGCAAAGGATTACTGAGTCCTAATAGCACCACCACCACCACCAACAACAACAATACTAACAACACCAACAACAACAACAACAGTAGTAGTAGTAGCAGCAACAATGCTGCCACATCCCCACGTGCAATGACCAAGAAACCCACGACCATTGATCAAGTGGCTGCCAATTTGAATATTCGGGCCGAGGCCAAGGCAGCCGCTCTCGCCGAGGAGGCGCCACCCGTGCTCAGTAGCCGTACCTCCAAGTCCCCGGAACTGGCCAAGACCACCACGGCGACAAGTTCGCGACCGGAACCCAAGGAGACATCCGCCGGTGGTGCCATCACGGTTTCGGCTGCCAGCACATTGCTGCCCATGCCGGTGGCGACAGTGTCCTCCAGTTCGGTTGCGGAACCCATGTCCAAGCCTCCCGTGCAGATCGCCGCCACCGATACACTGGCTCCTGTGGCGAGTTCCGCTTAGTCACCAGGTGAGTTTTATATATTACCTTAGATATTTTATATAGTATTACCAACTTGATTTATTGACAAACTCTAAGAAAGGCCATAGCTAAGGGAGATTTTTGATATCGATTGAAAAGGAAATCCAGTAATCGGGAATCAGATACAAATGGGTTAAGATATAGTCTTGGACATCCAGGATTCTACAAGAGGGTTTTTCACAAAAAATTGGAAAAAGTATGGATCGTATATTTTATTCTTAGATTTGGATGTAGATTGGTAGGGAATTGAACTACAAATCATTTAAGATATTACTCTCTAGAATTGGATGAAAGTTGGTGGAAATATAGACATCACAGGAGGTCATACATATATGGATATCCTGTATTTCATTTTCTTCCAAGGTTTTGTGAGAGATTGATGGGAAATCCATTTAAAAATCTTTTAAGGTCTTAAGAATCGGGTATAAATTATCAAAGATAGACATATCGAATGGAACATGACATGGATATCCGGGATTTAATAAAAAGTTCCCTCACATAAGTAGGAAAAATTACGATCTAAAATGTTTATCCTAGGAGTTAGACAGAATATTATATTTTAAGGTATTCCGCTCTAGGATCGGATGTAGATTGGTAAAGATATAGAAATCGTAAGGGCCCATCTATGGATATCCCAGATTTGACAAAGGGTTCTATAAGAAAAATTGGAAAAATATCGTTTAAACATTTTGTTTCAATGTTTGAATGCAGATTGATGGAGAATCAATCTACAAATCTTTTAAGGTATTCATCTTAAGAATCATCTTAAATTGACAAAGATACAGATATATTATGGAGCCTTAAATGGATATCCTAGGTTTTACAAGAGGTATCCTCACAAAAATTGGAAAAATATCTATAAAAAATATTGTTTCCAGTTTTTAAGATACATTGATGGAGAATCGAACTAAAAATCTTGTTGTCTAGTCCGCATGATAATCTTTTGTAAATTGTTAAAGATATAGACCTCATAAGAAGTCATAAAAAGACCGTGGATTTAGAGAAGTAACTCCTATTTAGGGACTGAAAGCTTATTCTAGCACATGTAGATATTCTTATATTTCCCAGATGTATTCTTAGGGTTATTAATCTTTTACAAATTAATGACATTAGTAGAGTTCGCGTTCGCTAGATACTTTTTTTCGTCTTCCGCTAATGATTGTTTGTTTTGTGCTTCGGGTTCTTGGGGGATCCAAAGATACTACATACTGCCACTTTTTAAAGTAGGCAGCTTTTCTAGCCATTCCTATTCCTATTCTCCCTCCCTGATGGCCACTTCCTTTATGAGTTGGCTATAATTTTTCTTTTTGGCGCATTTCCCACACTTTGCGGCAGGGCAGCGAGACTCAAATTATACAAATTACATTTCGAGTTTTGTGTTGTGTGTTGCCCTGTTGCTTATTTTGTTCGTTTTTCCTTCTCTGTTTTGGCTTTTCTCAAGTAGTCATTATACACAAATAATGTATCTTATGGGTACGTCGTACTCTATCCCTCTATATCTCTATCTATATCGTGCTCTTTCGGCTTATATGTTGGCCTCTCTTTCGGGTTCGTCTGTCGGTTTGTCGTCGCTCGTCATTCGGTCGGTCATTCATACGATTTTGCCTTGGTTTTATTTTCGCCGTTATAGGCAAAAGCAACACCAACACTAACAACATTGGGTTTTGACTTTTTCGCTGTGTTTTTTATTTTTTTTTCGCCCTCTGTTTCGTGTTGTTTTTCTCGTTCGTTTTGGCCTTTTAATGAACATCGGGCCGACTTGGCTAGAGAGTCATTACATCATTTTGGTATTTTCACCCATAGAAAATAAAAGGCGAATAACATTTTCATTCATTCTCTTTTTCTTTTTTTGTATTTGCAGCGTTTCTTTGGCTGTGCGGAACGCAAATGTATCTTGTGGCGCCGCTGGAGAATCTACAAGATACAACCAACAACCAGTCGCAGTTTCTCAACCTCGCTCCCGAAGAAAAGTGCAATTTAAGTAACCAGTAAACAGTAAACAGTTGTAAGCCTTAGAACTAACCCGAAATAGCCTCAACGCCAAGCAATATCTACTCGCAGATACTTATACTCGCAGATATCTGCTAGATACGTATACAATTCTAGGGTAACCACATCATTTGCATACGTATGGGATGGGGTGGGGTGGGCAAATATTTGCAATCGAATTAGTACGCGTCTAACTATAAACATAAATAATCCAAAAGCTGCAGGCAGGAATGTTTTTTGTAAAAAAAAATCATAAATTCAAAAATAAAATAATCCATTGATATAATAAAAAAGAAGGGGGGGTGGAAGGAGAATAATAATCAAATGCGCTCGCGCTCACTTGTTTTTGTTTTTGTCGTCGTCGTCGCTTGGCAGAAAAAGCGGACAAGCTAACAGCAAAGCAACAACAACAATTTAATTATAAAATATCAGCAACAAATATGTGTAAACCCGAGATAAGGTCACAAACACAAAAACAGACAGACAGACACAAACATTAGCACGCACATTTGCGAAATGCCTTTTGATAGATAGATCTTTGTTTTTTGGGTTTTTTTGTTTGGGGAAAGTCCCCAGTCGTAGCATTTCTTTAAAAACAAAAAACGGATAGAGACAAGGTTAAGAGAAAAAAAAATGAAATTGATAGACCGGAATCGCATCAAGAATATTTGATTATTCTGAGTACCGAAAGTGTTGGCACTTGTATACTCGCTATACCCTCTCCGCCCCCCCAACCAATCCCAGGAAAATCCGCCACGAAGTGTGAAAATTCGGTCTGGGGATGGATGGTGGTTCAGACACACACAAACACACACACAGACAGACATTCAGATACATCTATAGGAAAAAAAGATACAACCGATACCCGATACACACTCACGTTCTCCATCGGGGCGATAAAATTTTAACGATTTTGCGCCGTTTTGAGCGAGCGTGTCAAGCATAAAGATACAAAACAATACTTTGGGCATATATAGCATATAAACAAAATAAAACAAAAAGCAAACAAAAAGCAGAATAATGAAAATAACAAACTAACAAACAGACAGACAGGCACATTAGCTCCTATATATATTATACAATTATAAATATATATATATATATATATCTTGTAGATACTTTTCGTATTAGTTGTATAAGCGCGTTACGTTTAATTGAAGCACGAACTTTGTACATAAATTTAAATCGAAGCCAAGCGAAATCAAATAAAATATAAAATGAAATAAAAAATTCAAAAAACAAAAAAACGGGAATGGAAAATAAAACAACACCCCGCGCGAATGCAAATAAATTTTAATTTTTAGAGCTTCGACCAAAACAAATACCTATATTATATGATACACCCAATATACAGACTATATACTCTTATAATTACGATATTCGTACACTCGACAAAAAAAGGCTTTAGGTTTTTATATACTTTTTATCCTCTTCTTAGACCTAGTTGATACTCTATTTTATTACTATTATTATTATCATTTTTTTTTTTGATTCGTTATTTATATCGCCTGTACATAATTTTAATGAAAAACCAAGTTTACGAGGGAGGGGGATTGATAATGCTAAAATAAATGAGTTTCTTGTAGGAAAATAGTTGGTCGGCAGAATGGTGAGTGACAGAGAGGGCTGAAGGATGGACAGTAAACCAACCCTATAGCGTCAACCCTTAGACCCTGTAGCATCCATCCCTTGTGATCATTGCTGGGAATTAACATAATTTCCAGGCAATCAAACAAATTGAAAGAGCTCGGGATCGACTCATAACCTTTTGCCCGGACAGCTTTTCCAACAAAAAAAAACCTGACTCCTGATTGTTGTATATTTTTTGAATATTCCTATTATTGAGAATCTATATATATATATCTAGTTGTATATGTGAATGGCTTTGAACACTTATTTAAGCTGATATTGTACTGTTCGGAAACCTTAACTAAATAAATACTTATGGCATATATATATATATATAAATATTAAAACCGTATATGTTTAGAAATCTGATTGTATGCACTTCTTGTATGTATATTTAATATTGTTAGACAACCCTCGAAATGTAATACACACACAAAACACACACTTATTAAGTTAAATTAGCTGATTTTCGAAAACAATAAAATCATGAAAATGGAACACCCTGTATAACAAATGCGAATGCGGTTTTTATATCTTTATGGGCTGTACAAATAAATCAGAACGCCTGCGTCGGCGGCGACAGAAGGTGTTGCCTTAAACTGGAGGAAGTCGGGGTCGAGTTACAGTAGTACCCCAGACCCAGGACCATCATCATTCCCTTTCCATGTCCCGGGTTTGTCGCATCCACAAATCACCAATTGTCTTGCAACCCCGCTTGGGTCGGGGTTTACTTGTTGGCATTGCGGATTTCAACGCTTTTCATGCCCCATAAAGGGGAGTGTGAGTGGGTGTGGGTGTGCAGGCCCAGGCTATGGTAGTGGGTAAGGCGGTCGCGGTGGCACTTGCCGGAAACATATGGCAGCACGCTAAAACCAAAGCCTTTGTCGCAGGGACTGACAAGACACTGAAAGAAATTTCCAAAAATTATGGTAAGATATGGTATGGTACGTACTAATAAAAAAAATTAATATAGATAATATAATAAATAATATAATTATATAATAAAAGATATTTAACCTTTATCCAAACAAAATCCTTTTTTTCCCAGTGTATTATAATATGTTTCTTCCCCTCCCTGCAAAGCCACAAACCTCTTGCCACAGTCAATGCCACATAGCAGGGCACGTGCCACAGCCGCCCCTGCAACCCATCTATCCTGCAACGGTGCCGTAACCTTCGGCAAGGGCGATTGCCGTTGAGCCAAAGACAGCACGAGGACGTGCACAAGGACGAAAGCCAGGCGAAGAGCCATAAGCCGAACGAAGTCTCGCAGAGGCGCAGTTTGTGGGTGAATTTGGGTGCTTTATTTATTTCAGTCTTTTTTTTTTTCCACTTCGATGTGGACATGTGTGTACGATGTTTTCTATTTAGTGATGGGACATGACGAAGTGACAGATTTCACGGTCTATTTTGACAGAAAGTAATAATATTAATAAAATGGGTTGTTATATTATTTAATTGAAATTTAACAAGGGGGTAATTAATCACTTAATATTTGGGTAGAAATGTCTCTCTTTTAAAAAACATTATTAAATCATAACATCATGTCTTTAAATTTATAATTTTTTTCAAACAAAAACATATAAGGTTTCTTGATTTTTTTATTAAAACCTATTTATTTTATTAAAATGTATATATTTCTTAATTAAGTTCTTAAAGTTCGTGACACGCTGCCATCGCCTGGCTGGCAACTTGTTGTTTTATTTGCTTGGTGTATTTTTATTAAAAACGAACGCTACTTAATCAGCAGCAAAATGTCGCACTTTACGGCTCAACCACCCGGCCCCCCCAGCACCCAACCCACAACCGACTGATAGGAGAGGGCGTTGGGGAGGTTGGGAGACGGAAGGGTGGTGTAGTGGCTGCCGCCGTTTGACTTTTTGCTGTCGTTTGCGAAAACAGACTTATCAGCTTTGCTTTGGTTTTTGTTGTTGTTGCTTTCTGGGGGCGACTGGCAGAAAGCTTTCCAAGTCTCGCCTTGTCTCGCTCCATCCGGCTATAGTATACTTGTTTGGCATGTGCCCACCATCGCCCCACCCCTCAGCTCCCAACCGCCACCCACTCGCCAGCACCCAGCCAAGGCCCATTCAGTTGATAAATAGCATTTAAGTATTAGTTGGCTCTGTCGCTGTTTCAGCGAGGGGGGAGGGGAGGAACGTGCCCGGCTCTGCGATTCGCGATTGGTAAATTGGGTAATTGAAAACACTTAACGGTTATGATTTATTATCTATCTGGCTTACATATACAATACCCCAGTATACCCCAGTATACCCTGTTGCTGCTGATGTAACCATCAGATCTTTTGTTTGGGCCTTGTAGAGCTTTAGGGGGGGATTACGAGTCTGCACTGTTATTAAAATCTAATTAATCAAAATGTCCATTGCCATTGACAACCTGCTCACTGATAAATAATACCCGATAGTTAAGCCACTGAACAAATGTGGTTTTCTGTCTAGCCTTTAAGTCGGGGAGAAACCATTGTCTTGAGTTCTATATTTGTGTATTACTCTTGGACAAAAGTATTTCAATTTTGTCCGGAAGCTTATTTATTATCAGTTTTGAGTCGTCTGAAACGTATCCGCCTGTTTCCATGAAACCATTCCAATCTTGTAGTTTTAAAACTGTCCAGTTAAAAGATAATTTATACCATAACTTTCCTCGGAATTTGTTGGAAATACTGGGAGTGGACCGAATCATTTTAAAACTATTTAGTTTTAAGATAAAATATTCACTAACTTTTCTCAAAAGTTGTCCGAAATGTCCGACATTCCTTACTTCTTACATAAAAGATGGTATTGTTTGAAGTATCTTTAATTAGTATTCCTTTTATTCCTTTAAGAAACTAGATTCTGTAGCTAACTGTTATAACCCAAGTTTTGTTGGTAATACCAGGGTCTTTTTCTCTATTTAATGAAATTAAACAAAAGAAATATCCCACATTTAGTTTCCGAAAGCTTGGGACTTTCCTGAGAGTGAAATATCCACAAATCCCCCAAAAGAAACAAAAGAAAAGAAGCTTAAAAGTATCTTTTATTATATGTATCTGTATCTGCAAGAGCATCTAAGATTCGATTCTATTCTACAATAAGTAAATATTTTGTTAGGCTTTCCCAAATACTTAAACAAATACTCTCTTGTTTTGAATAAGAAGCCCCATTTGTTAAACACAAATTTTGGCACATCTGCAACTCATCAAGAGCTAAGTCCCATTGATGGCTTATTTATGGTAAAACTTTCCGAGACTGTCGCCAATACAAATATGCTAATTAATCACGTGTTTTTTCTACTTTACCTAGTTTCTGCTTACGCAACCTTTATCAGTGGTTGTGCTAAAACAATTCCTCTGGCATTTGAACAGCTCGTGCCGGCTATTTGTCTCGCTAAAAGTTCGTAATAATAATGCTAATGGATTGCAACCATTATTTGCTCCAGCAATTAGTACGGAAT